AACTATGACCCCTATGCAGGTAGGGCCCCTACTTCGACAGGACTAAAGGTTCAAGACCCGACAACTACTCAGACCTATGACAGACATCTTTCAACTACTAACACACAGGTCACGGGTTCAGGACACACAGGGTCGACTTGATACTGTACATGCGTAAGGTAAGGTACGGTAAGGTCTGGGGATCGAGCCCTGGGATCCGCATATGTGACTGCAAAAGGTGAAAACCGTTTCACACTCGAGCAGGTGACTACGTATTTAATTAAGCTGCAGTGACACAGTTCCTATTTGCATTCTTCACGACTTTTTCACATTTTGTTCCCTTTCATCATCGACACTTCGACAATTTTTGGACTTGTATTACCTTCTTTTTGTCCGACCTAACATATCTGCCAATGCATACTAGCACGTGACAAGATCATCTTTCTTTCACTACGCTACTATGCAGTTCATGTGCCCATTCGTTTATTTCCCCCCCAAAAAACAGGTCCTTATGGCTCGGGTTCCTATTTCACCAGCAATTCAAGGATACAGAGTACAACACACCCGAACACTGCTGGGAGACCCAAGTGGTATGCAATACTATGCATCAATTCTTGTCATTTATTAGCAAATTATTATCCTTGTTGGAAGATCCTTTCCTCAGTTCTTTCATTCTTAACGAACACTCACCCTATCCCCCCCCCAAAAAAAAGACTCTTCTATTGTAATTATTGGAAAACGGGTCCAGTGTCCCTTGCATTTAATACACACTCCACGCTTCCCTCCGTTATGGTCGAGGGTAAATTGAGACAGTGGCACTGATTACTTCCTATGAAGAAAAGATTCACCTCTGCTCTACCCCTGTTCTTAAAATTCTACAATAACTTACACTTTTGTGTGCTGAACGGGCGACTAAAACTAATGTCCCACTTGGGTGAATCTCCTACGTAACTCTGGGTTGAAGTCGCCACTCGCCTCTCAAGTTGTCTGTTGTCTGCTAGAACTTTACTTTCCTAGAGATGCAGTAGAAGTAAGAGGTTGCTGCCCCCCCAGCTCTCAAAAGGCTCTTCCAGTAAGTAGGAAAAAAACCATATCTGGAGGCTGTACACTTGCTGAGGGAGAGAGAACAAGTTCTCCTTGAAGTCTCTTTGTCTGTTTGGGTTGTGCGAATCTGTCTACAGACTCTACACTCTTCCCTCTGATCCTTCCCCTTCTCCTGTCTCCCCGGAATCCAACGGAGGGACCTCTGCTGTCTGTCTCCCCAAAACCGCCAGTGACCTTGGGAGGGTGACTCTCCAATCTTTGGAGTTAATGCGGTCCCCTTCTAGACTGCCCAAAAGAGTGGTCCCCATTCTCCCCTTCCCAGAGCAGCGGTTCTTTTACCCTCTGATGAGCCGTTCGTAGGCGCGAACGACGAAAAGCCGTCAGGGGCTGCGCCAACCTCCCCCTTCTCTGGTAGCTAATTGGGCCTCCAGATGCTGGGTCACTCTATTGAGTCTATTCTCATCTTCTTCCTCTCTCCTCCCCCTCTCCTTTTGTCCTTTTTTCCTCTCTTCTAGTCCCATCCCTCTCCATGAAGCTAAACTACTCCTGTAGGTAATCGGGCCTGTGGATGCTGACAAGGTTCTGCTTCCCCCTCCTACACCTGTGCCCTTCCAAATGAAAGTGGTGAACAAGCTGATGATGTCTGTATACCTATTTGCCATGCAAATGCGCCTTTTTTGTGTCCAAAAAACGTTATGTTCTGGCCCTGTTCCCAGTTTGCTGGGTTGTTCCTACTTGCTTTTTGCTCGTGTGATTTGCTGTCACACACACACACACACACACACACACACACACACACACACACACACACACACACATCTGGGTGGAAAAGCAGCTGTTGCGGTGACAATTTACAGAAGACATGCACACGCAAGGGAAAAGACAAAATGAATGCCTAGATCCGGTTTTTCCTTCCTGCTCGTCAGCTGCTAAATTATGAAGTTTTGGTCTGCTGCATGCTTCTCATGGTTTCCTCGTTGCTGGCAAACACTTTCATTTCTCTGAATAATATCGCAAACACATTCATTTCTCTGAATAATATCACAAACACCTTGATTTCTCTGAATAATCTCCCTTTCACTCCAAAGGATACGCACACAAATATATGCATGACTCCATCATCTTTCCTTACACACACAGACATGGTCATATGCTCAACTGATATCAACCCCCAACCCCAGCCCCTCCTAACCCCCCAAAACACAGAGATATCCTTCTCAAAGAGAATGGGCGTAGCAAGCTGGTAACGAAAACACAGGGACAGTGACCATATTGCAGCATACAGAGACACAGACTGATGGGTTTGACTGAGCCCCTATGTTTACAAACGTAGGCTGCATCGGTTAAGGTGGGGAGGGACGTTGTGTGTCTGATTTTATTTAGAATCTCATAGCCATGTCAGTCAGTCAGATTTATTCGGATAAGTGGACAAACACACTGCACTACCATGGGCTGACTCATCCAGATATAAGCTAACAGAGATAAACGTGAGGATTGAGCCCTCAAGAAGGGGCCTTGCCATGATGTACATGTTCTGGGCTAAGGCCCCAGCAAGCCTCATGCCCGCCCTAAGTGAAGGCGGGCCAACAAATCAACAAGAGCCCTCTGCGCGAACATTTCACGAAATGGGGTCCATACAGTTGCAGCACGCCAGTTGGTTGGAGTGCACCGAGTCTCGGATCTCTGCAAATGCAAAAATCCCAGGGCCTTTGAGTTGGTTAGGCCCTGGGCACTTGAACAAGAGGCCGACAATGCATGCTGGGTATAGAGGCCGAAAATGCCAATGGGAAATCGTCCCACTACCTGAATCTGGTCGCAGGCCTTGACGAAAGAGGCGCAACTGCATCCTGGGCCTCAACTGCATCGGGCCTGCGTTCAGGCACTGAGGCCCAGACGCAGGCTGAAGGGAGGCCGCCCACATGCAACACTGGCATATAGGCAAGCAGGGCGAGTGGGCAGGGATCTTGGCCACTGCGGGCAATGCCGGCATGCTGCGCAATTGCGAGCAGCTGCGCTGCGCTAGGCTGAGGTGAAGGGCAGGCAGGCGCTAGGCGGTAGGGCGCTGCCTGTGCACAGTGCGCTGGCGGCCATAGCCGGGCTGCCTGTGGGCGCTGAGGGAGGTGAGGGGCGAAGGTGGTTCTTCGGAGGTGAAGGGCGCTGTGTGGGATAACAAGGGAGAGTGTGGGTGAAGAGGACACGTATCTGGTGGAGGTGGAGGTCGGCATTGGTGTTGACATCATCACTCGCTGGTAGTCAAGTTGTCTGGTTGCTTTCATTGCTGTAGTTGTAGCCTTAGTCTGTAGAGTAGATAGGGCGCCTGGCGCCATTCACAAGAGAGAGCTACATTGGGTTATGCTGTTGGTGTTGCCCTGTTGGGCTTGGACATTGACTCACGATTCTTCTGTATCATTCTCAAA